AGTGCAGATGCACTGCTGTGATTGAAAAAAAGGCTTCAGTAAATCAGAGAAATGGAGTTTCCCGTAGCGTCTAGCGACGCAGTACTCGTTCCCCTTTCTCAGGGAGCCGAGGTTACGTTAGTAATCGAGTACGTTAAGAGTAACTGAATAACTCGGGATATTGGTTTATTTCGCGTCAGAGGGAGTGTCAGGCACGTTTATAAACAAAATGTCAGAATATCAAGATATACATTTTAAATTCTGGAAAACAGTCTTATTTGTAAGATATAAACTAGCAATCGAAAGAAACAAAGTCAGAATTGTGAGATTAAAAGTCCCAATTACATTTTTTTTTTATTTCTGTGGTGGAAGCAAGCTTCCATAAACTTCTAATCCACATGTGTGTATCAGAAAAAGCGCAAAAGCACACAATCACTGTAGAAAATAGTCCACTTCAATTAGATTGATCATTTTTTGTTAGGGATGCACGATATTATCGGACCAATATCGGAATCGGCCTGATATGAAAAATAATGCCGATATGTCTTGCCAATAAGAGGAATACATTAACTCACATGTGCTCAGGGTGTGCTAGCGATTAGATCACGTCAACAGTGCAATTATATCATGTCAGCATTGTGGCTCATCCTTGATTAGGTGTTGATTAGATTCACTGATTTGGATGCTGCATTTAAACTGAGAATGCACAAACAGAATGACGCTTCGGTGTATGATAGAGTAAACTGTAATAGCACGTGCAGTGGCAGCAGCAGCAGCCTCCCCCGGGTCCTAAAGCCCATTCAGTATGGAGTTTTAATTCCATAGCGGGCGCTGTTGGCCTACTTCTAATTAAATGAAAGTAAAATACACAAATAATATTTATACTGTGTTTCTGATTAAATAAAGCAGTAATTGATGCCATAAAATCATGAGTATGTTTTGATTTAAAGGTCAGAAGCTATAGCTTACATGGAGAAAAAAAAAATCACAAACATAACACTTAAAGCTGCAGTCCGTAACTTTTTTTTGGTTAAAAACGATCCGAAATCAATATTTGAGCAAGTACATAACCAGCCAGTGTTCAAAACTATCGCCTTACTTTAGCTCGATTCACAACGGTTAGCTTATAATAATGTTTTCTAATTTGAGTGGTACGGGTAGGTTTTCGCGGGAAATTCGTGCATGTTGCCACGACATTATGTCACTTCTGTAAACATAAAGAATTTGTCCCGGCTACTACGCTATCGCATGTGAGGATCCTGCAGGTGGATGATTGTTTACACACTACTCATAGTCACCAATGCTGATGTTGTTAATATTAATCATTTGAGAATAAAATATAACAATAATAATAATTTGAACGGTTTTATGTGATATGAGCTAACCGATCTATAGATTTAATCACCATTGGTAGCGTGGTTTATGGTAATGCTTTTTTCCTCAGTTGGTCAGAACAAA